GTGGATAGTTTTATAATGCTTAAGTCAGGGCCATTAGTGTGCCCATAACCAGAATAGTGTTCATTATAACTGTTAGGTAGGTTTTTACCCCTCTCTGCTCCCCCTTCTAGATTTCCAATGACTTTTACTTTTCTCTGAGCTCATGTATGCCCATTGATTAGTTCCAATATTAGAGTACATATGGTGTTTGTTTTTCCATTCCTCAGATACTTCACTTAAGATAATGGTGTCCAGTTCCATCCAAATGGTGACAAAAGACATTAATTCATTTTTATGGCTGACTAGTACTCTACATTTTGTTAACACATTTTTGTGACTGTGGATTGTGCTACAATAAACTTTAAAGTACAGGTGTCTTTTTGATAAAATGACTTCATTTCCTATGGGCGATAACCAGGAGTAGTGATTGCTGGGTCTAAAGGTAAGTCTATATTTATTTCTTTGAGGAATTTCCATACTGTTTTCCAGAGAGGTTGTACTATTTTGCAGTTGTAGCAACAGTGTATAAGCATTCCTTTCTCTCTTCATCCACATAAGCATCTACTATTTTTTGACTTCTTAATAATAGCCATTCTGACAGGTGTAAGGTGATATCTTCTTGTGATTTGAATTTGCATTGCTCTGATGATTAGTGATGATGAGTATTTTTTCATGGTTTCTTGGCCATTTGTCCATCTTCTTTTGAAAAACTTCTGTTCATGTCTTTTGTCCACTTTTTAATACAGTTGTTTTTCTTTTTTTCTTGTTGATATGTTTGAGTTCTTTGTAGAATCTGTATATTAGCCCTTTATAGATGCATACCCCAACACCTGGCCCAGTACCCTGGCCTGAAAGAAACCAGGCTGTGCAGTAGGAGGTTGAGTGGCAGGTGAGCAAGCAAAGCTTCATCTGTATTTATAGCTGCTCTCCATCGTTCGCATCACTGTCTGAGCTCTGCCTCCTATCAGATCATCAGCATCATTAGATTCTCATAAAACCGCAAACCCTACTGTAAACTGCACATGTGAATGGATCAAGACTGCGTACTCCTTATGAGAATCTAATGCCTGATGATCTGAGGTGGAGCTGAGGCAGTGACGCTAGGGCTGTGATGTGGCTGAAAATATAGATTATCATTAGCAGAGAGGTTTAACTGCACAGAGACCACAATAAATCGTTTGCAGACTCATATCAAAATACTACCAGTGAGTGGCAAGTGACAATTAAGCTGCATCTGGTGGTAGGCTTTATAGTGGCAAGTGAACATCTTACTTCAATTGTACAGCTGCATCTGGTGACAGACTTTAAGTCAAATTCTGGCATTTATTTTAGCCCATGCATGGCTTGTCCATTATTTTATTTATCACTTCCAACTGCACCTCTTTTCCATTCTGTGTACTTGTTTCAGTCACAGCTTTGGTAAGCCCACAAGCTAACCCTAGCAAAATGAGTAAAAAACAAATGGAGAGCTTCCTTGAAAAGGGGGAAAGACCCAGTGATGAGACAGCAGAAGACTCTAAGACTGCCAACAAAATGAAAGCTACATTTGAAAGAAAATACCAAGAATCCTACTTAAATTATGGATGGGTTCATTGAGACAGGTGATTCACATTTTCCAAGCCCACTTTGTATAATATGTGGTGACTGGCTATCCAACGAAGCCATGAAACCTTTGAAACTGCTTCGCCACATGGAGACCAAGCACCCTGCATTAAAAGACAAGCTGTTGGAGTTTTTCAAAAGAAAAATATATGAACAGGAAGGACAGAAGCAATTATTGAAGGCCACCACTTCATCAAATGTGTCTGCACTGAGAGTGTCATTGTTAGTGGCTAACCGCATTGCCAAAGCTAAGAAGCCCTTTACTAGTGGTGAAGAGTTGATCTTGCCTGCTGCTAAGGTCATTAGCTGTGAACTTTTAGTAGAGGCTACAATTCAAAAGGTGGAACGTGTTCCTCTTTTGGCTAGTACCATAACTAGATGAATTGATGAAATAGCAGAGGATACTGAGGCACGATTGTTAGAGAGGATTAATGAATCACCATGGTACACAATCCAGCTTGATAAGTCTACTGATGTTGTTAACAAGGCAACGACGCTTGTTTTTGTGTGATATATTTTTCAGAAGGATATGTTATGTGAAATTTCGTTGCTAACCAACACTACAGCTGCAGAACTATTCAAATCTTTGAATGAATACATATCAGGAAAATTGAATTGGTCATTTCGTGTTGTTATATGCACAGATAAGGCAGTTGCCATGACTGCCTGGCTTTCTGGTTTCACTACTTGGGTCAAGGAGGTCACTACTGAATGTTAGTCTATGCACTGTGTTATCCATAGAGAAATGCTGGCTAGCTGAAAAATGTCACAGAACTAAAAAACATTTTGCAGGATGTGATTAAAATTATCAACCCCATTAAATTATATGCCCTTAGTGCATGTCTGTTCATGCAGCTCTGTGAGATGGATGCTGAGCACACACGTCTTCTCTTATACACAGAAGTGAGATAGCTTTCTAAAGGTGGATTACTGGCCAGAGTTTCTGAGTTATGAGGGCCACTCCGGAGATTTCTTTTAGAAAAACAGTCATCACTAGCAACACATTTCAGTGACACAGAATGAGTCGCAAAACTTGGTTACTTGTGTGACATATTCAACCTGTTCAACGAATTCAATCTGTCACTTCAGGGGAGAATGACAACTGTGTTCAACTCAGCACATAAAGTGGCTACATTCAAAGCCAAACTGGAATTATGGGGGTGACAAGTGACCATCGGGATTTTTGACATGTTTCAAACATTAGCAGAGATTTTGAAAGAGACTGAGCCAGGGCCTTCTTTCTCCCAGTTGGTGCATGATCACCTATCTCAGCTTCAAAAGAATTTGAGCATTACTTCCCATCCACAAAAGACCCCTGAACTGGGAAGGAATGGATCAATGACCCAATTGTGAATAAATCAAGTGAATCGAGTCTGTCCATGCTAGAAGAGGATCAACTGCTTGATATCACAAATGGCAGGGCCTTAAAATATGTTTGAGACAACTTCAAATTTCCATACATTCTGGATTAAAGTCAAGGCTGAATATCCTGAAATTGCCACAAAAGCATTGAAAAGCCTGCTTCCATTTCCAACAGCCTATCTTTGTGAAGCAGTGTTTTCTGTAGTTACACAACCAAAACAAAATTATGGAGTAGACAGGACACAAGCAACACACCTCAGGTGTCTCTGTCTCCCATCACCCTCAGATGGGACCATCTAGTTGCAGGAAAACAAGCTCAGGGCTCTCACTGATTCTCCATTATGGTGAGTTGTATAATTATT